TTCCCTGGGTGGAAGTCAGTCTGTCCAGGGGGCCATGCTGCTCTGGCTCAGGCTTGTCTGTGGGAGTACCATGGTGCCATGAAGCTCACCTGGTCCACGTTTTCCCAAGCCATCTGGGCACCAGAGACTGGCAGCCCGGGGACCCTCCTTGTTTCTCCGTTTAACGTGAAGTGGAGATTCTCTGCGCCAGCAGGAGGTATGGAGGGGTCAAAGTTATGCCCGCGCCAGCAGGAGGTATGGAGAGGTCAAAGTTATGCCTTTTCTTAGTGATTATGCCTGCAAAGTGTGTCTCCAGCATCTCTCCAAGATTTCACTATAGGAGGCTCTCTTTCTGCTTCCTCCCTCTAGCCGCCATCTTGGAATCCTCTGGTTCTGAAGTTAGGTATTTAAAGAAGCTTAAATAACTTTGTTTTTTCTTTCATAAAGAGATTAAAAATTAGAAAGCCAATGCTGTTGTTATAGAGAGATCAGGCATCTGGTTTTAGAAAAAGTTTCAAGTTTTCTGTACTCTACCAAAAGCTTAGTTAAGTTCTACAAATACATAGTATTCCTAACTCTGAACAAAAAAGGAAAAGAGAAGGTATCTCCCACTTTCAAGCAAATCAGATCACAAGCATTTTCATTTCTTTTGTGCACATTTGTGGGCTTTTCTGTATCTTTATTTCATCCTTTCATCTGAACTTTCCTGCCCCACCAATCCAAAGTCCTTGACTTTTAGCCATAGACCTCCCCTGGTATGTTATCAGCTCAAGGCAAAAGAACATTGTAGAGGTGTCATTGTACTAGCAAGCCTCTGGATGTAACATCACTCATTCACACACACACACAATGTCTTAAAATATCTCTACATACCCTAAACAGTGTTAGGTTCTATCATACAACAGAAAACAACAGAGATGGAAATTCCAGTTTAACTGATGTTAAGAGAGAGAAAATAGAAAAATGAAACAATAAATGGAACAATACCCCAGACGGTAATTGATGCTACTAACTGTCATGCATAAAATAAAGCTACAAAAAGGGAAAAAGCCAACTAAGGAAGAGGGCTGTGGTATATTAGCCATGCCAAACATCTTGTTGAGTAAGGCCTTCCTTCACGTTTAAGCAACTCAAGTGAGGCAGTGAGTCAAGGAATGTCTGAGAAGCAACACTAAGAAACAAGAAGGGAGCACAAAAATGGCGTGGAATACAGGTGTTTGGAAAGAGAAAAGCAGCAAGTGAACCAATAAATATGGCTAGAGCACAGCAAATGCAAATTGTACAACAGCAGATGAGATTTGAGGGGTGACCAGGAACAAATTCTATTGTGAGATTTTGCTTTAAATCAGGGCAAGAAAGGAGCAGAATAGTGATTGGGAGGATCAGACTCACATTTTAAATGAACCAGCCAAGTTGCCACAATGAGAGGAGACTACAGAGGTAAAGCTACAAAGCAGAGAGAGAGAGGCAGCTGTGGTAATCCAAGGAGAAAGGATTTGGCTTGAAACACTATCATGGGGATGACAGAATAAAAATAGACATATTGTGAAAGTATAATCAAAACAAATTGGTAGCTGAAAATAGGAGAGGTATGAGAAAGAAAAGAAAGAGTAAAAATTCTATAGCAAAATCAAAATTATTCTCCTTCTGGAAGAACTAGGAAAAAAAAACCTAATGAGATAGCCAGAGAGTTTCCTTACATTATTTGCACTTAAAATAAGTGGTAGGTGGTTTAATAAAAAGACTCTGAAGGCCAAGCACAGTATTTTAAGCCTATAATCCTAGCTACTCAGGAGGCAGACATTAGGAAGATCATGGTTTGAGGCCAACCTATGAAAAAAGTTCATGAAACCCCATCTCAACCAATGTCTGGACATGGTGGCAAATATGTGTCATTCCAGCTACACCAGGAAGCATAATGGGAGGATCACAGCCCAGGCATAAAATAAGACCCACAAAATGATATCAAAAATAACTACTATGATATATTGTAAGCACTTTTGTAAATGTTATAATCTACATCCAGTACAATGATAATATGATAAAAAATTTTAAACCATTTATTCCTGTTTAAAAAAATAACTAAAGCAAAAAGTGCAGGAGAATAGCTCCTGTGGTAGCAAACCTGTGTAGAAAGTATGTGGCTTTGGGTTCAATCCCCAGTACTACCAAAATAAAACAACAACAACAATCCGACACCATTCTAAACTCAAGATCACTGAATTATTTCTTTCATGGCCATTGTGGCTATAAATGAAAAATTTACTGTTATCTTTCCAAGTATATTTCAGACACATAACAAAATGCATGATTTCAATTCTCTGTACATATACTACAATACTAAATTATTTTCTGTAAACATTTTAAAAATGTGCTTTCCAAAGTCTCTTCTTCAAGCCAGAGTTGAAGCTTATTTCTGTTTGATTGTTTGTTTGTATTTGCACTGCTTGGGATTCAAATCCAGGGACTTAAACATGCTAGGCAAGCCTTCTATCACTGAGTTGTGTCCCCAGCCTTTTCAAAAGCCAACTTCATTTCCATTCCTGTTATACTTTTTCTTTTATGATATTGTTTCCTTTGACATTAATCTCAAATTCACTCTTTGTTCTTCTTGATCATTATTTTATTTTATGTGCTTAAATTATTAAATTATAAGTGGTTATATTAAAAATAAAAATGTTTTAAAAACTATTATTTTACAGAGTAAGTAACATGAATATAGTCTGTTTAAACTGTGTGTTTGTGTGTGTGTGTGTGTGTGTGTGTGTGTGTGTGTGTATACACATGTGTATGCATCTAGTCTCCTAAGGAGCTTTAAAATATTCTTACTTTTCCTTTCTTATTTCTGACTTTCATTTTCAATATCTTTTGCTTCTCACTGGATTGTGAATGTGCCCTTTCCCTATGTCTGAAAATCTTTCAACCTTCACTATTCATTCTAAGAATCAGCAATATGTTATGTTTTTATAGAACCTTTCTTCCAGGGAATAGAGAGTGTTTCATATATATTACCACATTCATCCTTAAAATTTCTCTCGCAACACCCATAGCCCTGGCTAAACTATGCCTCCTTTGAAACCTCAGTCCGTATCTTTAGTTCTTCCTTCCTTGATTGCCTTTCCTATAAACTCCGTAAATCACAGTTTCAGAATCCTAGGTATGTAGAAAATATGCATAATTCTATCACTCAAGTGACCTTTCTTTCTAACCCTGTGCTGAGAATTTACCATCTCTGTTTCAGAACTTTGCCAGGCTACCTGGCAGGCATTAGACTATGAAGATCTTGCCAGGTACTGAAATAATCTGACTTAATAACTTGTGAATACTTCCTCTTATCAACCATGTCATTTATTTTTGCTCTAATTTACACTTGTGTCTCTTTTTAGTTTATTTTTCATTAATAATTAAAAGTAATATTCAAAATTTTATTTGACTTTTATTAAATTTCTGTTTTAAAATATTCGTACCTGTCCAAATATAAATAGCAACCTCCAATTTTTACTACACTTAAAAACAATCATTTGTTTTTAAGGAATGGTAACTTCTCAAGGATTGTAAATAAACACAATTTTACACTAAAATAAAATATTTTTACCTTAGTAGTTATAGCTAACATTTGTTAAGAATTACCAGGTGGCAATCAATTTGATAAATGGTCAAACAGATTACCTCATTTACACTTTACTATAAGAGTTCAGTCCTACTTTCTGTATATCATATGTAGAAAAGTGAAGGTTTCCAATGCTTCCATAACAGGCTCTGCTTGAACAGAGACTTGGACTGAAGGAGCCAAAGCACATCCCAATTTATTACTCTGTTTTCTCTATGTAACTATCTTAAATTAAAAGTTTAAAAAAAGCAATCTTACTTTTGCACAGAATTCATCAATTGTTTTTAAAAACTCTGTATATATTCAGAGTTGAATTCTGGGTTTGAACTCGCTTACAAATTAAACTAAAATCTGACTACCTAGACAAGATTACCAGCACTGCAAAAGTTTTCAAATTTAAAATTAAGTGTTTGTCTGTAATCAGACCTAAAAAAATTGACTTTCAATATGCATTGTGAAATGAAATTAAAATGATTAGAGTAAATTTAGGAGAAAAGAGCTGTTACCCTATAGAAGATCTGCTTTCTATTTTTATAACCTGCACTATCTTGAACCCATTTTGTTTTGCTATGTTTTGTTTCATTTTACAATCTTAAGTGGGGTGGGCATTAGACTTGATCTCAGTGCAACAGCTGATATCTTACTGGCATAAGAAAGATTCAAATCATTTGAGCAGCTAATGTGGTTGCCTCTTTGCCTTCCAGCAAAGAAAGTACACCTTTCCTATTAGTCTCAATCCTTTAAGAAAACATACCACAGTTTTACAATTTTTCTTCAATGTCTACTCGGGAAGACACTGAACATCTATTTGACTTGATGTCATTTATGCATTAAAAGTTATTTCTTGATTAGCTAAAGTCATAATAGCATATAGCTTTTAGGCATTTTATGTGTCTTCCACATAAGTGATTGAAAGTAAAGTCTGTAAGACATACAGATGTAAAATGAAAGAGAAATTTCCATTGCAAACATTTATACCATATGAAAGCCATGCAAATATGGCCTTCAGAAGAAAAATGGCTTGTCATTATTTTTTTTTCTCAAATTGAGTCCTATCATCAGCACAGGATTGCAAAATAAAGATTTGCATATTTTTGACTGAAAAATACTTAACCTAACACATGCTAAGTGACTACGCAGTGTGAAGATTGCAGGACACCAACACACACTAGCAATGTAGGATTTAAGAAAAGGGAACTCAGACAATCAGGGCTATGGTTGAATTTAATTTATTGAAACTTGATAGAGACAACACCAAAATCCTTCAAATTAAGACTAAAATCTAAGTATCTTGAGCATGAATGGATTCAATGGCATTCAGATATTAAACTTCATCTCAAAAATAATGTGGTTATATGAAGATCGTGTAGGGAAAAAACATATATCGTAGGGAGCATGCTAATATAGAAAAGTTACTGCTTGGTAAAAATATTCATCTAAAGGAAGCACAGACTCTCCATTCCAGCCAGCCAACAAAGACAACATCAAGACAGCAAAAAGGAAAGTGATTTCTCCTGCATTACGTTGGTGTGAGTATAAAGAGATTTAAACTTTGCTGTATAATTGAACTTGCTACAAAGATTAAAATGATGACATTTAAAGATAAAAATGCCAAATATTAGATCCTATTCATCAAACTCAGCAAGTTTAGAATCATAAAAAAGAAAAACTTTTACTAGCTATTCATTTGGTAACATTGGCACAAAATAATATATTGTCACAGATTGTCAGAGAACTGACACTCTGCCAAGAGTCTGATTCAAATTTGCTTAAAAGATGAACAAAGAATATCAGACTCCACAGGAGGAAAAAAAAAGACAAGACATAGGAATAAAGAAATCATAGAACTCACAGGATTTTAGAGCTAAAAGGGTGTAAAATGCCATCTTTCCCATCTTTCCCTTTCCTATCTCTTTAGAAAAAACTAGAATGAGTAATAATAAAAACTTAATCAAGGACACAGTTAATAGGTGACCAATAATCAAACTTTAAAGTAAAAAAAGTTATATAAATAAAGCAAGTATGAGAAAGATGCTGTATATATCATACAAAGCACAGTTAACATGAAATTATCTTCTTATATCTGTATTTACATATGGTCCAAATGACTTAGCCCTTGAGAAGATAGAAATATTACTTCTAAAATGGATAAAATTTTAATGGTATATTTAAATGAATATTTCAACTATTCTTCCAATTTTATCCTTAAAAATTTTTTTGAAAATTCATCTTCATACCACCTAAATAACATTTTGTCTTATGAAATCTTAAGTTCTTTAAAAGTAATTTCTATGTTTTTAATTTGTTACTTGGTATGATTTTTGTAGTAAATGTGTATTCTTAGCTCAAGATGAAGTGGTGTTACAATACTCGTGTATTTACTAATACATGTAACAACCTAATATATATGTGCATATGATTACCTATTAGTGATTTGCACCATGTGCTAAAATTTATGACAATAAATGCCAACAACTCCATCCACTTCTTTCTGATGTTTACCATTGTCTAAAATACTAGTAGATGTTAACATCTGCACATATAGTTGTTTTTTTAAGAAATTGATACATTATTATTAAATATGTCAAAAGAGTGCATTATCTACAAAAATCTATTCATTAAACTTAGAAATGTCAAGTATGCCTCTGGGTTAGATAAGAGGACACTACAATTTTCCATTTGATTTCAAAATAAATCAAGCAGCCACTGTGCTCTCAAAGTAACAGTATTAATTATTTCTGCTAATTGCCTCTGTGGTTTGCAGAGGGACATCACGAGATATCATCCCATCAGTCTACTTCTAACTTTCCCCCTCCTTAGGGGTAGACGCTAACCCTCCCTGAACAGCAAAGTCTATCAGAACTTTTATGTCCGGCTCAGAGCAGACTCTAGCCCTCCTGAAGCATGGGTCTAACCAAGATTTATCTTTTCTAGTAGAAATCCAGGTGAAAACGTGTGTGTGTGTGTCTACAGGAGAGATTCATGGGTCAAATACAGTTTACTTCCTAATTTTGACTGATATTTAAATTTTTTTCTTTATTGATGCTCTTACCATTTAGAAACTATTCTAGTGCCTAAACTGGTATTGACTCATCATCACTGCTCAAACCTAGGAGAAACATTATCAACTGAAAGAGTTAGAAATATTTATTTAACAATTTTTTTATAAAGTAACACTTCCAAGAACTATTCTGATCCATAGTAAATCCCTGTCACAATTATCATGAAGAAGCAAATGGAAGATGGAGGTGACACTCTAGGTAGTTGTGGTGCCCATCGGCCATTGTGCAAAACGAGAGCAGAGTCCACACCATTTCAAAGGGCAGCAGGGAAGTTCTCTTGAACCATGAAAGCCCATCCAGCTTTGTAACTTTATTTTCAAGATGTTCTATTCTTATGAAAAACAATTCTCCAGTTCTCATGTAAAACATAATGGGACATACAAAACACATCTTCCACTTTTGCTTCCATAAGTTATCAAAAATAAGATAACAAATATATACAAATTAGTTTTTGAGAACAGTTTCACATGGACATTTGTTGAGGCTCTCCATACAAGATTCCAAAATTGGATATTCACCTGAGAAATCAAGCAAAATTGTCTACCTTATTTTTAATAATCAATTCATTCATATGAAATATTGCAGTTTATTAAGGAAAAGAGCTTTGAAGGACAACCATTTTAAAATAAATTTCTGACACTGATTTTGCCACACCTGTCAGTCATAATTATTCACTACTTTTCTGATTTGTTAGAAAGGAGTCATTTTAGCTAACTCATAGAGCATTTAACTGGTAAAGTTAATTATTGGTTGTAAAACTCCTACTACAACGCATGGTACATAGCAGACAATTAATAATTGCTGGTTCTCTTTCTTTACACTTCAGTTTTGATCAGAATTATAGAAAACAGAATTTTTAGCTCTTCAATCCACACTATGTGGCTTATCATAAGACTAATGGAGTTTAGCTTAATGTTTCAGTCAATGAGATATGATGCATAAACTAATTATAAAGGTCCAAGCTGAGGCTAATGTATCCCTCAGCTACTAAATCGTAGCAACATACCACAGGAGTTAAGAGTGTGATGGGATCTGAGAGCAGATCTTCAGGCTTTTAATTGCAGCTGTGCCATCCTGGTAAGATGACTCAACTCTCCATGCCAGTTCCGTCATCTAAAAAGTGGATAAAAGGGAGTTGAAAGACTATGCTCCACTGAGCTTTACCTTATCTGTGATTGCTGGGAGGTGAAAGCATTTAGGTGCCAGGAAAATATGGTGGATGAATACAATGAAATATATGGCAACAATTACAAGTAAAAGAAAAAGAGCAACATGGATGAATCAATTTCAAAAGACAATGCTTGTTGAAAGACATTAAGAAATCCAATGAAGTATATAGCATATTTATATAAAAACATTTGAATACAAAATAGCAATACATTTTTCAAACATATGTGCATATGAGATGTTCCACATTACAATGGCTGAGAAGCTGAGCACCCAAGAGAGTAGAAACATGGATGATAAAAAGTGAAAAGACGCTGTGTGTGTAACGATGGGCTGTATAAGCTCTCCATGCTTTTCTGGTAAGAAAATTCATACAGACTAAAGCCAAGATAACAATGATAGGTTACAACCTTTTTGGAGCAAGACTTTTGCAATGTAATATATTATTAATTTAATTTTCTGCTGCTCCATTAGAAGGTTCATAAAAAAAATGAGAAGAAATAAAGCAAATTTAGGATTAACTAACTAAAAATATTGAAAAATTCCTTTTCAGTTTGTCTGACTTTAATCATTTGTATGTGTTTAAGTCTAGCAAGCTAAAAAAAAAAGGCAAATTATAATGCTTAAGGATTTGCAAGGATTTTAATCTCCATGTCATTTAAAAATCCTACAATTAGCATATTTTCAAAGACTAGACAACAGGTAATATTAGCATGACTCTCTGTCTTTCATTCACCTAATTAAATATATATTTTAAAATTGAATTCACATATAATGAAGAAAAATCCTAATATTTAAATTCTAAAGCAAAAGCTTCACATATTTAAAATACCCATATTAAGTTTATTAATAAAATCAAGTCAATATTCAAAATAAAATAACCTTATTCTCTTAGATTTGAATTTCTATTTAGTTCCATTTTTGTACTAAACACTTCTTTTGAAAATGAAAGAACAATATACCTTGATTTTCCAAGAGAAATAAACTCTTTAAAACTGTCCATCAACTAATGAAACTATCAATTTAATTACTTTTCATATTCTTGAGGATGTAAAATGATCTAATTTACAACTATTGTTATGACAAGTGCCTAATAAACCTACAATGATTTGACATTAGAGCTGAAGTTCCATTGGAACTAAAGGGAAGTTTTATGACTCTGGGATTTTCTCATCCCCAGGCATATTGATGAAATGCAACTCATATAAAACCATTCTGATCCTTGTGTTTTCTAATTATAACTTTAGGTACAAAATACTAAACAAAAATGAGAAAGTTATGGACACTTTCTAAGAAGGAACATATCTTTATTGATTTTATTTTATATCTCTTTAGTGTGCTTTTATGTAAATTATTTGCATATTCATATATTATACAAACATGATGATAAATTAAAAGATATACAATGTGAACGTAAAACTACATGCTCATGAATCCCATATATACACACTTCGATATATAATGAAAAGAGCTCTGATCTGAAGGCAATGTGCTACCTGAATGTGTTTTTCATTTTCATAACTTGAACAGTTCTTCATTTCACATTATATCAAAATAGGAAGTCTGGCTTAAATAAAAACCAAAACTATAAACACACACTCACACACACATTACAGCAAGTAAACTTCTTGCATGTGTCATACTGTAAAAGGGATCTAATACAAATTTTTCTCATAATGTCCTTGTAACCACACAATGTGTGCCCAGGAAATTAAATGTAGAAGAGCTAATGCAATATCCTGACATGCAGAGACTACAGCTGATCCTTCCGGAGAAGCTGACAACTACACAGACGTTCCCTTCAGGGTCCTGTGGAGATAACATAACCAGAAAGTTACATTAGCCCCTGTTAAAACCTGAGAAGATTCATTTAAATATAGGAACATCACATTCAAATGCCTAATGTTGATTATAATTTTTCTGTCATCAACAGAAAAACATCTCTCTCATGGTAAGGCAGTAACAGACCTAATTGCTCCAACTCACAAAATATCTAGTCCCATTCCTGGACAAATAAGCCCTTCAAATGTCACACAAAGAATCTCTTAGGAAGGAATTTGTAAATTGGTGGATCTAATCCATGGCACATGTATTTTAAATTTTTCCTCAATTACTTTTCTTTTCTGAGGTTGAACTCACAATGATTCAATCATTATTAATGTAATCAATAACATTATTCTAAAACATAGTTGAAATGTTTGTTTCTAATGAGAACCATTTTGTTTTCTAAAACCTAAATCAATCATTTTCAGGTATTTCCTGGATTCCAAGGATCTCTAACTAGTGCTATATCCTTCTGG